AAATAAAGAGAAAAAATAACTAATTCCCACCCCCACGCCTAAATTTTGCATTGTCCTCAATGCAAACTCTATGATGCATAAAGTAAAGCAGATAAGAAGTGAAACACTTACATTTGGTCCGCTGATAAAAATCTGCAATTACCTTTGGTCTGAGGAGGATGAAAACAAAAATTTATTCTTCTTTTTTTTTCTTTTTTTCTTTTTTTTTCCTTTTTTTTCTTTTTTTTCTTTTTAACAACTGAACAAGAAACTCTCAAATGAGAGAAGAATAAATTCTTTTTATTATTCTGAAATAAACAAAATAAACAATGTAGAATGAAATATTCAACATGAAGAATTCCAGTTCTACATTGAATCCTACCTTACTGTTGAAAATTCTCCCACGGATTTTAAATAAATTCAACATGATATAATCAACAATGTGCTAAAATTCTAAGCATTCCCGGGTGTTCAATGATTTTTGTGGCAATGGAAGGTAGGTATTATTGGTGTCATGCATATTGGACTCAGATTCTTGATTTGTGAATGTGTGTTCTCTAACAACCAATTTTTCTTTAACAATTTTCTCAACCTCAGGATTCATGGTTGATGTGTAAAAATTTGGTTGTTGTTTATTTTCCAAAAATCTTAGTTCATCAAGAAAGAGTTTTTCAAAATTCAGTTCAAAGCAGCAATTGTCCAACACAGTTTCTTTATTTTGACAAACCCGATCTGCTTCTCCTAATATTTTTAGCTCCTCACCGAAAATTTCCTCAAAACTTAGATCTGACTCTTCTTCTTCTCCCCCCGGTCTTTCCTGAATTGAATTATCAGGGGAAGAATGAATTGGAACAAGAATTTGGCTTAAAGGTGTTCTTTCCTGATTACCGACCTGTTTTCCTAACTGTAGTGCATTCATTTGAGTGTCCTTAGGATTGACCACGGGTTGATTCAAAATTTCTCCTTCCTCTACTTCACTTATGGCACTAGCTAGTTGATCAATATGGGTTTCTAATCTAGCTAGGGCTTGAGTGTTAGAGTGAAGTATGAGTTCGGTTGATTGCATAAAGGAGTTCATCGTGTAGGATGTTTGAGTTAACATATCCGTGGCTAGTGTGGAGGCCTTAATAATGATTTCAAAACCTTTTTCCAAAAAATTGAGACGTTCATCATGATCTGTATCAAGAGGAGTGTGAGTTACAACTTGATGATGAGGAGACTGATTTTGATGTGACAGATTAGGTTGTTGAAATTATGGATGAGAATTGAAAGGAACTGTGTTTTCCCTAGGAAAATATTGGGTCAAATATGGAGTGAAGTTTTGAGTTTCGGAGTGGTTTCCCTGATTCCATGCAATGTTTGTGTAACTTGCCCAACCTGGGTTGTAGGTTGGAAAAAATGGATCATTTACCGAATACTGATATGGACTCTCTACAAACTCCCGGACTTCATTGGAAATTTCAATTTTATTGGGATAACATAAATTTTGAAAAACTTGTGGATTATCCATTTGTTCAAAATGAATTTGTTGATGTGTATTGTCCCTAATCCACGTTTTGCATGCACCAAAAACAATTACTTTTTATATAATTTTTTTTTGTTTTGGAAAAATAAAAGTTTCTAATGAGTTTTATTAGGCTTGGGTGGTGTAGTGAGGAATTAGTGATTTTTGGGCTAAGGAAAGGGTGATGAAATCCCTCACCTTATCTTGATTACGGGGTTTTGCCCTTAAAAATATTTTAATTGTGTGCCAAATCAAGATGCTCAAATCACTTGGTGAATTCCTACTAACAATATGAAATGCAACCCTATGAATTTAAAGCAACTAAAAAGGATGGAAAAGAGAAAATGTTTTTTTTAATTAGGGTTAACAATCAAACAAATAAGAAGGCGGAAATTTGTTTGAATTTATTATCTTGTTAATAAATGTCAAAGTGGAGGGTGAACTTTATTATGGTCAACGGAAATAAAATCTTTTTTTTTAAGATCCTAATTGTCACTAATTGTGAGAAACTAACTAAAGGTGTGGAATTGAAAATATAAGGAAGAAGACTTACCACAAGCGAATATCTAATTCCTCAATCTCCAATTCTTGATCTTTAATCTTCAAGTAGTTCTTTCACAAGAAATACACAAATTAAAGAACCAAAATAATTAAAACCTACTTAAGCACCTTCCCCGACAACGGCGCCAAAAACTTGATGCGACATAAACATGTACCAAAAAGGTTGCAAGTGCACAACCGTGTCAAGTTATAGTATTTAAGATATCGATCCCACGAGAAAGGTGTTTTGTAGGAGAAAATATGAAATCGGTTCTTATGTTGTGTGCGTGACAAGTAGGAGTGATAAGTGAATGTGATTGTGAAGAGATTGAGAGAGTGAAAATGGTGTGTGAATAGGTGCAATGTGTAAGTGAGAGTGGATTTAAAAAAAAAACAATGAGTATGATCAATAAGGTGAGAAGGAAAAATGAATAAAAACAAAAATAAAAAAAATCAAGAATGAAGAACAAAATTCTAGAATAAAAGAAAATGCAAGAAATTAAAGATGGTGGATTTAATTATAGATATGGGTAATCTACAATTGAACCAACTTCTTAGAAAATGGTGATTCCCTAGAGGGTTCTAGCCTAAAGACGAACCAAACAAAATAAAATAAACAAAAAGAAAAACTAAACCCAAGAGGGTTCTAGCCTCAAGGTGAATAGTATAAGAAATTAAAATCTAACTACAAAATAAATTGTAAAATTTAAATTACAAAATAAAATTGCAAGAATTAAATGTAAGAAAATAAATCTACTCTATAAGCATGAAATAAATATAAGGCAAAAGGGTTCTAGCCTCTTGGCTATTTAACAAGAAAATAAAATCTAACTACAAGCATAGAAATAAATCTAAACTAATAAGCAATAAAAGAGAAAAAGAAAGAAATGCAAACCTTCAAATAATTCTCCATCTTCATCTTCATCTTCATCATCCAACAAAGAGAAGAAGAGAAAAATTTAAAGTGGTGAAAAAATTATTATTATTAATTGCAACTAAAGTTATAATTTTGGAAAGCCTTCTCAATTAAGAGTAGCCCTCCTCTCCAAAAGGAGTTACAAAAATTTTCACACCATCCAACAAAGAGAAGAAGAGAAAAATTTAAAGTGGTGAAAAAATTATTATTATTAATTGCAACTAAAGTTATAATTTTGGAAAGCCTTCTCAATTAAGAGTAGCCCTCCTCTCCAAAAGGAGTTACAAAAATTTTCACACCTTAACTCCTCACTCTCTACCCCTATTTATAGTAATCTTCAATGAATATGAGCCATTAGATTTGTCTTGAGCCCCAAGCAACAATCTCCACCTTTGAATTTGCTTTTTGTTCTTCTCTAGCCCAATATAAGAGGTCCAATTGATTTTCAAAAAAAAAAAAAAAAAAAAAACAAATCCGGTCCATAGCTTTTGAATTTCAAAATTAAATCCAACTCTGCAGTCCATCAAGGAAATCCGGCCCAAGTCTTTGCTGTGATTTTCAAAAATTAATTCAAGTCCATATCTCAGCAGCCAACAAGCAGGTCCGGTCTCAAATCAGTCCATTTTGATTTTTTGGCCCATTCAAGTGACTTCATGGCCATTGGTATTTGATTTTCTAAACTGAAAATGAAGCTGCAACCGAGTTTGGTCCTCATGTGATTTAAGTCTGGTGGTATTTGATTTTCTAAACTGAAAATGAAGCTGCAACCGAGTTTGGTCCTCATGTGATTTAAGTCTGGTCATATTGATTTTCAAAATTAATTCAGAAGCCCACATTCTGCAGCAGTCCATCAATGAAACCGGCCCATTGAAGTTCCCATTTGATTTAAAAATAGAAAATGAAGAGCATGTCCAAAGTCCGGTCTTTGCAGCAACCACATCCGCATGCAGCAGGTCCAATAGAGATTTATCTAAGCAATTTTGGTCCTTGAGAAAGCAAGTCCGGTCTTTTTTTTTTCATCAATCTTCTGCAGCAATGTCACAAGTCCAATGCATTGGATTTTCAAAATCAAGAGGCCAAGTCCGGCCCATTCATTGCCTCAGTCCGGTCTATTGATGAAAATTTGATTTTTAAAATTGCAGCAAAGTCCACAAGTTCAGCCCAATGAAGAAATTAAGTCCAAATCTTTGCATAAAAGTCCATTTCATTCCAACTCTTTGCATCCAAGTCCATTCCAACTTTTTGGTGTAATCATTTTTATTTTTGACTAGTTTCAAGCCCGTGCGATGCACGGATTTATATATTACTGACATGACAATCTTTAAAAAAATAGACAAATGACAAATAAACTATAGTTTTATTTAAGAATAAGGAAATGAAATCATACCTCAAAGTAAATAGAAAAATAGGGTGCAAACCCAAGATGTTAAATAGACAAATGACAAATAAACTATAGTTTTATTTAAGAATAAGGAAATGAAATCATACCTCAAAGTAAATAGAAAAATAGGGTGCAAACCCAAGATGCATCGGCTACGTGGATGGCCAGAAGAAATTTAGAAGAAATTTTCTAAGTCTTCATATATGCAGAGTACTTTTATTTCCCAACTTCTTTTTTGGTAAGTATTCAGTGGTTTGCTTTGCTGAATGTATTAAGTTAAGATCTCTACTTCCATGGAGTTGCTTCCAAGATCAAGCTCATTTGAGGTATGTATGGTTTTAAGAATCCCTCTACGATATAACCAAAACAAAGCCAAACCAAGAGTTTAACCTTCATATCATGCCAATTATTTTGTCAACACATTTACATACCAAGAGTTTAACCTTCATATCATGCCAATTATTTTATCAACATATTTACATTTACAATGATTACTGAGAGAGTTACTTCTCATAAACTTTGAAGTATATTAACTCACTAAAAATGATAATATTTTGACTAAACGTGAAGTATATTAACTCACTAAAAATGATAAGTTTCTACAATTAAAAACAGAAAAAAATCAAATAATAATTTGATAAGAACATCATCAACATCATTAATGGCAATAATCAAAAAGAATCCTTAAAAAAAGTTCAAGCATCCAATATGGTGAGCTCATATGGCCCAACAATTTACATATAGCCTAACAAATAGCGCATGGTTAGCACATATGGTCAGCAAAAATTTAAATTTAGTAATAAGAAAATAAGTCAATAATAAAAAAAAAGTTTAACAAAACATAGTGCAAAGCACAATACATCCTTTTATAATTGCCTTTATGCTCAAATAAAATTATTATATCCTTGTTCTTTCTTCATCTCCTCATGCTCAGTAGTCGACATAGCCAGCCACATATTCCTGAAAGAAAGTACCATAATCAGTACATTTCGCTCCTCATCGATTATATAATATAAAAGTATGTAACACAAAGTAATCTAAAAAGTGCATATCAATATTAATTACCTAAAAAAACTAAATAATTACATAATAATAACCCAACTGACAACCATTACTACTTATAATCAAAACAAAATTAAAGAGGAATAATAGAAGGCATGAATATTGAATGGTGCTACAAGGTATGATACTTCTCGTGACTCATGGACTCTTAAGGGTTGAAATGCTCTTAAGGAAAAGCAAGCAGTCTTGTAGAAAAAGCAATAACCAAAAACATCATTGAGTTCATGAATGTTTTTGTTCATGCACCTCAACCCTTAAAAGGATTGACACCAAAGTATATCATCTGGGATGCTCAAGCACTTTAATCTTTAAGGATCCACAACAAACAACTGGTATATCAAAGATAAAGGAAAAAAAGAAGAAAACAACCATCAAAGATAAAGGATAAAAAGAAGAAAACAACCAAATCATAATTACTGAGGTTGATACAATGAGGTTCATTTAATAAATTGATGTAATGAGGTTCATTCAAGCAATGATTTAAAGGAACATGGTACAAAATAGAGGTCTTGGTGATGATCCATAAAGTTGATGGCGATGCAAGCTCAAAAATTAGATAGCTGAAAATTTTATGCATAAATATCAAAAGTTTATAATAGTTTTATGATTACAAAAAGAATGTATTGAATGATCAAATTAACAATAAATATTTAATGAAGTTATGTGAAACACATCAAAAACAAAAGTCTAGCGGCCATGAACAAACTTTAAATAATAATGAATAGTGCTTTACATTACAACTATTGATGCAGCCCTAGTTTAGATGAAGTGAAATTGATCAACCAATTCTAAGTCTACTTTCCTTCAACATTCTTACAAAAGTAAAATTTCACAATATGTTATATGTTGTCAGAGCAGTATTCCTTGTACAATATTCATGAATTAGTCCTCAGTCTGCAACAGAAAAATGTATGACAAAGACAAACCGCTACACATGCGAAGTTTCTTTTATATAAGCAATGCATTGCCAGCTGCTTTGGATTGTTCTATTAATAATTAATCACCAAGTATCCCTCTAAAGGCAACAGCTTTCATCGTGGTAATTAGTCAATCTTTCCATTACCTTCCATCTAATTTTTTCTCATCTGCCACCAGCCTCCCATCAATAAAGGTGTGGCCTGGATGGTCAGTCTAGTTTAACATAAATCTAGGTGTAAGATGACCTAAAGTCAGCCACTTGGATGGGTCTAATCAGATGCCAAGCTAAAAGTTTGGGTCAGCCCCCTCCCGCTCCTTGCAGAAGAAGGAATGTTTACAGCTTCAAGATGCAAAGGGTGTAATGGAAGTAAATAGTGCAATTATAAATTTTGAATAATAATACAGGTTGAAACTCACCTGTCCAAGATGAAGAAAACTGTGGCTATATAGATTATACTTTACTTCCCTAAATTCAAGAACATATGAGAACTCAGGAGGCAGAGGCTCGCTTGAAACAAATGTTACCTGGTATAGAAAAAAACAATACTTATGAATCTCTAATCATATAATTATGGACCAAACTAAAAGTTGCAGTCAGCAACTGCCATCTCAAATATGTACCAACGACAACCTATAATAATATGCAACAAAAAATTAAGTGGCAGCCCTTATATCGTAAAGCATGAGCCACCCAATTTGATGGTGTTGGTAGTTTAAATACCTAGATTGATATTATTCTTTAATAGCAGTAAAAGTGTCGTAAATGTCTCGCCAGGCCAAAGATTCTAGAACATCATATGATGATAAGATCCATGAGATTATTTACAAACTGGCATTGAAATTTCATAAATCATAGTTACTATAAGTTATCACAGATGCTTTTATCTCAAGGTTAATGTCTAAATAAAACATCTACAATATTTATAACAGTTACTCTTGCTTGATGGAAAAAAAATTATATTTTCTAAGAACTTATGTCCAGTACGGTTGTACCCAAGTTGTAAGACAAATTTATATATGACAAGAGGCATTAAGCTGATAAAAATCAAGAGCTCCCTGCACTCATTAAAAAATTAACATTGCTCGCCCTTAGAAGCAACAAAGAATGTCAGGCTAGCTCTATCATGGTATAAAAGTCTCATTTTGGAAAAAGAATACTGCTTAAGCCACAATCAATATAGTAATTTCCAGGAGAAAATGTTGATGCAGTGAAATTTGAATTAGTATCAAAGGCCCTTGTAAATTGCATGCTTACCGCCTTACACCTCATCATGACATTCAAAATTTGTCAAGATGGACATAGTCTAACTTCTTCCTGTAAAAAAAGGACCTTCTGTCTCAATATTTGAATTATCCACAGATTCTCATGGAGTTTATACATCCCACTGGAGGAACATCTTGTAATCAAACATATTCTGAGATATCAAATAACAAATTAACAAAGTTGAGTTGCTAAAGTTAAGTAAAAATTTGCAAATAAGATTGAAGAACAATTACTGATCAATGGTAGAAGAATTTGCATCAGTTGGAATTATAGATAATAAGTAAGCTTTGGCAAATTAAGAAAAGCGAAAGCTATTAAGATTAATAACAATGTAGAAGAATTTGCATCAGTTGGAATTATAGACAATAAGTAAGCTTTGGCAAATTAAGAAAAGCGAAAGCTATTAAGATTAATAACAATGTAGAAGAATTTGCATCAGTTGGAATTATAGACAATTAAGTAAGCTTTGGCAAATAAGATTGAAGAACAATTACTGATCAATGGTTTATATTGACAGTAAATAAGCTCTGACACAATCAATTGTCAAAATTAATACCTACTCGATGATAACAAAATAGTGGGAATTAGCCTGCATAATAAAGTTTAACAACAGTGAGTACCAATCGAATTTACAACTTCTGGATGTGTTAGCTAATTTAACAAAAACTTCTTCAGGTCAAAATTTTCAGGTCAAAATAAAAGTAATCATATACAAAATGAAAAAGAACAAAAACTTCTTCAGGACAAAATCTTATATGCTATATCTCCCTTCTTCACAGAATATCTGGTTTTTATCCATAATCAGCCCTGCGGTTTTCAAGGCTCAAAGACACTACAAAAAAATTATAGAAGTTCATCTGGTGGAAATGAAAGGAAACAGAGTCATTTCAGACATGATTTGCAACCAAGCACACCGACATTGGAGGTATTCAGATACATTGTCATAACTGACTAAAGTAAATCAGGGCACAATGCATATTAAGTACTAAGAAACATGTTAGGAATGATAGAAGTTAAATGATGGAAATGACAAAGCCTTGTGCCATAAATATAATAACAACCAGAGCACCTTCTTTCTTAATTCTTCTTTTTTTTTCTTTCTCAAAACAGCAGCAAATTGATGATATGATTCATTTCACAGAAAATCAGATAAGTAAACTGAAAATTTACAGCTTCAAGGCTAAATGAGAATCCATGAACCTTATATTTATTGTTCTATAAACATAATAATGTGTCACATATGCACAACGTGCATATAAACTGCAAGAAGGCCCTTGTAAAATGCATGCTTACCGCCTTACACCTCATCGTGACATTCAAAATTTGTCAAGATGGACATAGTCTAAGTTCTTCCTGTAAAAAAAAGGACCTTCTGTCTCAATATTTGAATTATCCACAGATTCTCATGGAGTTTAAAAACATGAAAACGTGGTAATACTGACATGTAAAGAAAGAAAACATTAAGTAAGAAAATCCCTTCACCTTGAGAAAATTTAATAGCATAACACATTCACAAACAACATGACAAAATCAATAAAAGTATAAATTCTATTATAGATACAACTCACTGGGGAATTCTGTCACACGTTCACTCCCATCAAAATCAGACCATTCATTTCTAAAACTTTCTACTGGATTTTCTTTATGCCCATCCCCTCAAGTTGTAATCTCTATCTAAAAGAGTTGAACTTCAACTAAAAATTCCAGTATTGAGAAATAAGATCGAACATTATAAAGTTCTTGTGTTAAAGATCGAACATTATAGGTAGGAATATTAGCATTAATCTGAACATATGGATCACTTACAGGGACGCCGACGACCGACGACCTTCGCCTCCCAGTGACGCCGAACACGTTTCACAGCGTAGGGATCAGTCGTCGCCGGGGGATTAGACGATGGGTTGATTTGGAAATTAGGGATGTGGGAATGAGGATCTGAGTAATGACACTAATATTATATCAAGGTACAGTATTAATTAATAAAAATCAGATCACAAACCAAACCTGCATAAAAAATCAGATTACTACCCAAAATGTAGCAACTTGTAATATTTGAAAATTGAAAGATACTATGGAATGTTAACCAAAATTACATTACTGCACAAACCTGCATATAGATTAATACCCAAAATGTAGCAACTTGTAATATTTGAAAATTGAAAGATACTATGGAAAGTTAACCAAAATTACATTACTACACAAACCTGCATAAAGCCCAACATCTATGAGTCGTGTTTGACAATTAAAGGAAAGTTTGTGTAGCATAGTGAAATCTATGAGGATTTCAGAAGGACAAGTCCAAACACTATTAGTTCCATTGCACACCCTATTCTCTATGCAAACCTACGTAATATCAGATTTATTTTTTTAACATAGGAGATGTGCCCGTATGGCAAACCTGTCAAGTAAACATAAATCATTATGAATAACACCAGAAAACCCAATTTATAGTATGTATTATTTAGTCAACAACAAAATCCATGTTTGTCAACTACATTTCTTTGAGCTGAATGTATTTATGCATTGAGGTAAACTCTCTCCAACATATAATTTAAGCACATGAAACATGTAGTAATAAACCAAAGAGTTTCTTTGAGAGACACTCAGAAAATGTATCATGTGTACAGCCGAATATAACGCTGCCAATCTCTTTCACGGGCAGACATGCTTATTTTTTTAACATAGGCGATGTTAAAAAATATTTATTTAGTTTTCCATTGCACAATTATTTCCATTGCACACCATGTTCTCTATGTAAAGCCTACATTAAAGTTGTAGTTGACTGTATGCAATTGCACATAGATATGTATTCATAACACACCCTGGAATTATGATTTATGTTTTTTCATTCTCTATATATGTAATACCTTTCTTTTTGTTATTGAAATCTTAGTCATGCAAGTTACCCAAAGAAAGTCCTTTCTGTATAAGCGTTAAATTTTTATTTTGAAAAATGCTAATGCAATTTTTTTTATTTTTCATGCTTGAATTTGTAGAAGACCAAACTGCTATGAAGATATTATTCTGTCTTGGTTTTGAGCATTATCAATTTGTTTCTGATGATCTACATGCCTTGCTGCAAATATGACTGACATATTTATCACTGTTTATAAGCTCAAATTGATAGTCTTGGTTTAGCTAAACATGAGATATTTGCATAAACATCTCTCAGAAATATAGGAGTTAGCATCCATGTGAAAACAGAATCACAGACGTGAGTACATGAAAACTTTAGAACATTAGAAATCCTCAAAATCCAATGTCTCATGCTTTATATGTTTATACTTATAATGTTGGTAGCTTAGTTCTGATTAACCATGTAGGGACTGCTTGATTTAATGTAAGTTGGTTTAGTGGTCTTGGTTTAGCTAAACATGAGATATTTGCATGAGGCTCTCCCAAAAACACCCAAAAACACAGGAGTTAGACACATCCATGTGAAAACAGAGTGACAGACATGATTACATGAATGCAGGATATTAGAGATGCACAAAATCCAATGTATTGTGTGAATTCAACGAATTTTCCAGAAACAAATTTATGTGGATTGTGGTAAATGGACCAATCATGTGATTAGCCAGTTAGCTGCATAGCATGCCCTGATATTTGATTTGGGAGGTAGAGGATTAAGATGATATCAACTCCTGACAGTACACAAAAACTAAATGACTGCTATCAAATTAATATTCAAAAGCTATGGAGGTTTAAGCAAGTAGCACGGAGAAATCGCTACACGTATATAGCATAATCAAGAATGAAAGTCATTCCAAACTGAGCTGTAAACCTTCGCACAAAAATCAACTTATTGGAACATACTATGCAGTTTTTTACATGGACACACTTAATGTAGGATAAAGTGTTTTTATCTTAGATCAGTCAACTGAGCTGTAAACATGTTTAAAAAGACAATTCTTGCATTTTTAAAAAAGAATTCCATTCATTCCTAGACATGTCAACTGCATCCTGGCTGATATTAGAGATACACAAAATCAAATGTCTTGTATGAATTCAACGATTTTTCCAGAAACAAATATATGTGGATTGTGGTAAATGGACCAATCGTGTGATTAGCCAGTTAGCTGCATAGAATGCCCTGATATTTGATTTGGGAGGTAGAGCCCTGATATTTGGGAGGTAGAGGATTAAGATGATATCAACTCCTGACAGTACACAAAAACTAAATGACTGCTATCAAATTAGTATTCACTGAATAGAAGTACGAAAATTATGCACAGACAATAGACGTCCTTAAGCTCCAGTCTGAAGAATGATTACACTTATGCACAAGGACAAAATTATGCACAGACAATAGACGTCCTTCAACAATTCTGTGCAGTCATTGATAGATACAATTGTCAACTCTATGATTAAACTTATGCACAAGGACACAGACTGATTTGTATGACCATTCATATGTACGTTATCGTAAATAATTCACATGACATTCTTATTGCTCATATTCAATCAGTTCAATAGATGTTCAAAATTTTCACATAGAACACGACTGATTTGTATGTATTATTGTGTATATCACATATACAGAAAAACCAAATTCACATGTCTGATATTTGTGTGAGGTACGCTATATAAAGAATATATGCGAGTCTAATCCATTCTGACTGAAAAACCTCTAGTTTTGAAGTATGAAAATTCATGGATGAAGATTGACCTGTAACACAGATAAAAGAAAAGAGTATTGCACAAAAAGAAAATCATTGTGCAATTATTTGATACTTGGCAGTAACACAGATAAAAGAAAAGAGTATTGCACAAAAAGAAAATCATTGTGCAATTATTTGATACTTGGCATTTTCCTTCATGAAGGCCATGTGTCATAATGTAAAGCCTACCGACTGCACGATGAAGCCCTTTATTTCCTTCTTCATGGCCACGAATAATTTATGGTAATTTATTGATTCCCAGGACCTTGTAATACAAACCTCAAACCGTATGACATTTTACTTACCAGCATGTTGAAAATTTATTGAACAGTCAGCCTAGACTCCAATTTAAGGATTAACTCTGATTCATGAAAAAATTTACCCAAAAAAAAAAAGAAGGCACGAATGAGAGGTAGAATAACTGCAATGGAGTAATATATAGAACAGCTCCTTGGTAGTCGTCTATTATAAATCAAAATGCAACTGATATCCATACATAAAAGGTAGTTAGCCACTGCTTATATGCATAGGATCTACTCATAGTATACATCTAGACAGCATGCTTGAAAACACAATGAGTACTGAAAAGTGAATAACAGGAACAAAGTGAACCAGCCAATAGGACATTTAATCTTCTTTTAAGTATTCAAGATAAGTAAATCCTAGCAAGTAGTCATAGAAGAAATTCCAATTTTAACATCACCCTGCAATCTTGAATACTTAAAAAAGATTTGATTAGCAGAGCATTGACAGGGACTGATAAAAAAGATTTGATGAGGAAGCTGCCAAAATTTTTATATGATGAGCAA